GGGTCACAGGTGGGGGGGGGGCGGATTGCGGGATTCAGGTGGCCTCCTGTCTTGACCCACTGAGACGGCCCCTTGGCAGGACCCCCGCCGCCAGGACAACAGGACAGTGGGGACCAGGGACGATGAGCACCCAAGGAGGGCGGACTTGGGGTTTCTTACTTGCTTTTCTTTTTCTATTTCTTATTTTTTATTGATGTCAGAGAGGAAGGGAAAGGGAGAGACAGAAACATCCATGATGAAAGAGGATCATGGATCGGCTGCCTCCTGCACACCCCCCACTGGGGATCGAGCCCGCAACCTGGGCCTGCGCCCCGACCGGAATCGAACCTGGACCCTTCGGTCCACAGGCGGATGCTCTACCCACTGAGCAACACCAGCCGTTCTTTTTTTCTACTTTTTAAATGTGAAACCCCGAGTCTTTCATTTTAATCTCTCCTCTGGCGAATAGAAAGAAGTGTTTACTGCTCTGAGTTTCCTTCCAAACACTGCTTCCCCATCCGCAGGTGTTGTATTTTATAGTTCCATTAAAAGTGTCTTTAAGTTCCCCGGTTGGGGTTGGAGCCATGAGTTAAAAGTGCGCTGTTTAATTTCCCCACATTGGGAGTGTCTGTGGAACTCGTCTGGGCATTGATTTCTAACTGAGTTCCGTTGTGGCCAGAGAGTATGTTCTGTGTGATGTGTTATTCCTCACGTTGGTGGAGGCAGCTTGAGAGCCCGTGGTGGGTCTGTCCGCCTGCATGTTCCGTGTGCACGTGAAAATGTGTGTTCTGCTGTTGCTGGGGGATGTTCCGGAAACGCCATTGCGAGCCGGGTGCTTGTATGAGCGCAGTCTTTTTTTTTTTTAATTTTTTTATTGATGAAGTTATTACATATGTGTCCTTATCCCCACATTACCCCCTACCCCGCAAGCGCAGTCTTCCTGAACTTCTGTCTCGCTGTTCTATCAGCTGCGGCGGCGGCGTTGGTCCCTCCTGGTAGGGCTGCGAAACCATCAGGCTCAGCCTCCAGTCTGTCAGTTTCGGCGTTTCACACGTGGAGCTGGGCTGATTAGGGCGCACACATTGGCGTTCTGCTTCCTGGTGAGCCGCCCCTCTTATCATTATGAAATGTCTCTATTGCTGGTAATAATCCTTGGTTTGAAGTCCATTTTACCTGATAATTAAAGGAGTCACCTAGCATGTCAGTTATGCTCGAATAAAATGGGGTGGGTGGGGCGGGATGAAATAAAATAGCCACACGGGCCCTCTTACGCTTACTGTCTATATGACATGTCTTTTTAGATTAATTTCGTCTTCATATTTAAAGCGTTTTTTTGGTAGGCAATATTTAAGAGGGTTGGTTTTGTTTTATCCGCTCAGTCTATCTCAGCCTTTTAATTGAAATATTTAAACCATCAACACTTAGTGTAATTATTGAAATGTTTAGAGGTAGGCCGACCCCTTTATTTTTTGGTTTTTATTATCCCCTCTGATTTTCTTCTTTCCTTCCTCATTAACTGATTTAGCATCAGTTCCTCCACATATATTTCTTGAATATCTGTTATGTGCAGGCGTTTTTCTAGGCATCAGCCCTGGTCCCGTTCTCAAGGGGCTTCCATTACAACGGGGGTGAGAGACAACCCTAACCAACCAGGGCTTGTGTGGCCGACTTCCGGTGTGGCCAGGGTGTGAAGGAAAATAAAGCAGTCGAAGGGAGAAGGATTGGGGACAGGACGAGGGAGTCAGGGAAGGCCTCTTGGAGGCGGTGCCCCCGGAGCCAGCAGATCTGCATGAAACGAGGGAAGGAGCCTCACAAGGAGCCACTAGCAGAGGGACCTGTAAGTGCAAAGGCAGGGAGGCGAGAACGAGACAGGAGGTTAGTCAAAACTCGAAGTTCAGGTACGTTGGCTGTCTCCCCACCCAGCTCTGACCTTCGCCCTTCTCCCCAGGCCACTTCTGAGCCCGCAGGTGGCAGTGAAAGAGGCACCTGTGTGGAGGCTGTGGCCGGGCTGCAGCTGAGCTCACGGAGGGAGCACTGGGCTC